ACTTCAGACGTGCAATGTAATCAAAACTACCATGCACTTTTTGTGGCATTGCTTAGTATTTGCAAAAAAAAAGTGAATTGAAAGTTGTAGTAAATGTATATGAATAATCAAACTGTAGTTTCTTTGTATTATGTGCTGTCTTTTGAAAACATCTCAGTGTATTTCTGCTATTCTCCTCCTTGTTTGAAGGTAACTCACATTCTTCCACTTCTTTTTGTTTGTGAAATTTTCTCCTCTTTTTTATCTACTCAGTTCTCCATCTGCTTTCACTTTTGTTTGCTTGGGCCGTCTCTCATCCCAACTTGATAATGAGGAATGCAGTGTGACCCTGACCTCTATCAGCCCATGCATGACCTTCTGACTCGCCCACATAACCTTTGACCTTCTCTTTGACAGCTTGATTAATTACCCTGTGTTATGATTTATGAGTAAGTGCTATGTAAAAATAATAGACAACAGGTGGTCCTCTAGAATCTTTTTGTGGTACGTTTTCTTTTCCTGCCTAACCTGATGAGCTGTTTTAAGTTTGGAACTTAGCGGGACAAAGTGTGTTTGGCAGAGGCATGGCATTTTTATGCACTTGGACACAGTGCTGGAATTCAGGCGGCTGAGGTATATCTGGGATGGAAATATCACAGTGTTAGCAGGGTGCAGTTGCCAAAATGTACATTGGGTGGAAACAGAAAGCAGAATCAACTGACATTTCAGGCGTTTCAGTCACAGGTCACGTCTTGAGAAAATTGCTCAAATAATGGAGGGGGCATTTTTCAAGCTGAGCTGCATCTCCAACAGCTATGTTTACTTTAACGCTTCACTAGTGACTTCTGATTGGTTGTCATGACCTCATCCTGCTGTTGCACCTACAGTGTTGCAATAGCGACATAGATGTACCCTTCTCACAGTAAAGATGGGAAATGAACAGAGCATACATCTTTCAAAAAGATGAATGGACATTGCTGTGTCTGTTTTAACCACAGGCAGGTTTAAGAACAGAGTGCTTTGAGTTGCATTTCCCCAAGGAATTAATTCTGATCTTGCTACCAACCGTCCAAATAGAAACCTGAACTTGAAAATTCAGGTTGATCAAACATAGGAGAATGATCTCTTTTAAATCCTTGCTCACAGTCCAAAAAGATAGTTACATAGGTCAAAAGATACCTCTCTGGCTCTGACCTCTTTGTCACATATTGTGTCCTGCCCTGATGGATTAATATGCAGATCTGAATGGTTTCAGCTCATTTCTCATGTGCCAGGCAGGGGAGATTTCAGACTGTTTGAAATTTACCTCAAATACTTTGAGGTTCTTTTTTTTAAGCTTTCCCCCTTGAACTTCCAGTAAGAGAGAGAACATACTGCCCCATTTCTGGCTCATGTATTACAATGGAAAAGGCCCTTCTACCTTGTTCCCTCTTAGTAGTATATGTATTGTAACTGAGGTTCATGATTCTTTCCAACTCTTGACTTAGTAAGCCTGCTTTTCCTTTCATCATCACAAACCTCCAGAAGCAGCAACCTGAAGAATGGTAGGAGTTAGTGTAGATTAAATTTTACTTACCTTGAAGCACTACCACGTGAGGGGAAGAGATGTTAATCAGGTGCTTTATTCTTAGAGAGAAACTGTAATTTTGTAGATTAGAGGCTGGGAGTTCCATTTGTCAGTGTCTGCCATAATTATAAGGTCTTATCACTGGTACACTGATGGCTGAAGATTGATGGATATGAGGGGATAGTGTCCTTAAAGCTTAGCTTTTTATCATGAAAAAACTTTTTATAGAGTGGTTTCTCTGTGTGTGCACACTGGTCACAGAGGAGAAAACTGTGACGTTGAAAGCTGCTGTTATGTTGAAAAATACTACATTGCCTAATGTTTGCATACCACTTAATACCGCTGGGTGTGGCAAGATTTAGAAATCCTCCTAGATGATTGCTACTTAAGTCATAGGTCGCTATGTTTTAATAATGATGTAAACTCATCATGGCTGAAATTGGTATTTTTAGTGACACTGATTTAACAAATAGCAAAGTAATACTTAGTAATAGCATATTTAATACTTTCTAGCTTGCAGGACTGTTTATTGTGAAAAAAAAGATGAATGCTGTCCTGCGTGCAAAGGTGTCTCTGAGCAGGACTTTCATTTTAAACAATGTTTTTTAATGAATGTGATTTTTGGCTGTGTTAACACCTATGCCAAAGACTCTATCTTCTCATTAAATTTTGCTAAAGGCCTTTTTTAAGATATTAGTGGTCTTGTGTTCTGAAGTTTGCATTGACTTGCAAGCTTCTCAAATTCACTGCATTAGTGTTCCACCTTTTTTTTCATTTTCTGATTGCACTGAACTTGAATGGTGTAGCTACGCCCACAAAAATTACTTTTTTTTAAATTAATTGAAGTTGAAAGCCATATTGTTTACACTAATGTTATTTAGAGCAGAGTATTTATTTTCAGTAGAAAATGTTCAGATAAAGACTGAATGAGAGAGGTTGTAATTGGCTTTATTTCACCAGTAATTTTGGTTTTCTATGTTGATTTTTATATGTTACTCTCAAATCTTCTTTCTGGTGCCATTGTTTTCTTCTTGAAATTTAGGATGCAGAAGTACAAGGGAAAGGGAGATACACCATATCATGTAAGCAAAACAGTCCAAAAAGATACTACTTTCCAAAGGGAAAGACTTAGGCTTTCCCATAATAGAAGGGGGGAAATAATATAAGTTTAGTTATTACTTAATTATTTTAATTCTACTGTCAGGAAAGGCCAGCTGTCTGGGAGAATTTGTGAAAAAATATAAAGGGAGTTGTTGCAGTGCTTAAAATATATTTAATAAAAATCCTTTAATTGATTTATAAAATAGTGAATTTAAAAATAGAATCTTATTTCACCTGTGGTTGTCTACATGAAAAATTGTCATTGTATCCTCATAAAAGGGGACAAATAAGTAATGTAATTTTAATTTGCATGATCAATAACTTAGACAAATTTCACTTCTCTGATTATTTTTGTGACTCTTTTGTGATCAGGTTGAAGTGCATGGAGTTTCAAACTTCTAGGTCTGTAGTAAACACATGAATTTTGCATTGTGAAAACAAAACAAATTAATAAACAGAAGTCTCTGCTCAGAACAAGCAAGTCAAGAGGATGAAGAGCCCCAAAACTACCAGCCTGCCAAGTACTGCAAAAACTGCAGCAGTAGCAGGCTGAAAAACTATCCTTTCATCTGAGATGTGCAGTTTAGGAAGATTTGTAAGCCACATTCTTCTCCATGATGAATTTGGGCTTTGAAATTTTCCAAGCTGTAAAATTCATGTGCTTATAGTATGGCATTGTGCATTAATATGGCCAGGCATGGTGTGAATAGATTTTAAAATTTTTCTTTCTGTTTTCTTTCACCTATTCCCTATTGTTTATTTACATTTTGGCTTTTTGTTTATATCTATCCCAGTTAAATTCATGGCAGGCAGGGCCAGGCAATCATGTGACAGAAGACCCCTTATAGTGCTGCATCTAACAAGGAGACAATTTTCTCTTTGTGACCCTTTTTTACTACATTGCTTATGCCAGAGGTAGTATCCTGAATGCCTCTATTTCACCCTGTTTAGCAGAGTGTAATTGTGCCCTTTAACTTGTTTTTTGGTGGGAGGAGAAGCTACAGCAAACGTTGGAGAAGGGCACAAGGATAAGGGGTAGGAACTCCCTTCGGATGTGATTTTGATAGCTAGTCAAGTGTGTCCAACTGTAGAAAATCAGTGAGTGACAGTCTGTCTACCTGACAGTGGCCACAATGAACTACAAGATTTGTGAATGGCTCTACAGAAAAGAATAAAGCAAGCCCAAATAAAGTATCTTTTGTTGGGGTGGACTTGGTTTGCTCTGGGCAGCTAGGTATGGGGGACCTCTTTTGATCCTCATGCCAGGACTGAGTGCAAAATGAAGCACCAAGTGAGAAGCTGGAATAAAGCTGTTCCATTAGATAATCAATATAGATGTTTCTGGAAAGTAAGTCTTTATTAAAATTTACTTCGAAAGGATAGCTTGATTTTGACTGGGAGCTCACACTAACTTTAGGGACATATCTGTTAAATGCATGTGCTTCTCTTTTTCCCTTTCCCTTTGCAATTATATCTTCAGTAAATATTATGATTTTTTCTGTGATTTGCCATCATTTAAAAATCATAACATTTGATTGGCTGGTTTGTTCAAGATTTATTTCTCATTCATAAATTTATTTTTTTTCAACCAGCTCATTTCCCGAGGCAAAAAAAATGTACCTTATGCACTCAAAAGCATCCTGCAGGCCACAAATTTGTTCTGCATTTGTTGGATATACAATATAATCCCAGTGAACTTTTACAGCAGATTTAAAGATGCGCTAAATAGTCAGACCCACCATAAAGAGTTGACTTGTAAGCAACACCACTGAATCAGTTTTGGTATTGATTCATTGTTACTGCTGCTATTTGCGTCTGCATGGTATGCTTATTGTCAGCTAGACAAAAGGTTTTACTATTTTAAAATGTGGTGAATAATTTTCACATGCTTTCTTTAATGTATCTATCTTTATATATAAAATCTCTCAATCCTTTTTATTTTAAAGGTTTTTGCTGGCTGGGCTTAAAGCTTTTTATTCATTATTGTGTAGAGTTCTTAAAGCAACATTTTGCTTTTAGTTCCTGTATTGTTTTCTGAAAAAGTCATATAAAGTGCTTATGAATAAAACAACATATTAAATTATTTTAAAGGTAAAACAGGCAACTTTTCTGATGCTGAGGGATGTGTATGAGTATAAGTACATGCACTGATACATATTCACACATCAATATCCTGTTAATGTCAGAATATGCTTAAAAACCTTTCTATAAATGATGTTGTGTGAAGTTGCTGAAATAAATAAAAAAGTTCTAAATAGCATTAAAGTAAATGCAAAGCATTTTCAAGAATTAAATTCCCCTTTTCACATTTCTTCTTGTTTGTGTGTGTCTGTGTGACTCTCTTCTAAAACAGGAAGGCTATGGAGTAATAGTTCTGAATCCCAATGAGAACTATATTGAAGTTGAGAAGACAAAAGCCCAAGTACCGCTGTCTTCTGATATCTCAGATGAACCTGCAGAAAAGAGAGAAAGAAAAGATAAAATCCAGAAGGAAACCAAGAAGCGACGTGACTTCTATGAAAAGTATCGAAATCCACAAAAAGAAAAAGAAACTATGCAGATCTATATTAGAGTAAGTTTCTTTTGGTTTTGTTTGCCCTTCTTTATTGATGCATGCGTATGTTTACTACCTATATTGGCTAATAAATAGCATGCTTTGCTTAAAACAAACACATTACTGAGATGGAATTCAAGAGTTTATACAGAGTTCCTGGCTCTTTATTCTGTTGGTATTTTTGGTCATTTATTGATCATGATGCTTTGGAAGTGTTACAGAAAATTTCTTTCTAATTTCAAAGGGAAACTTCAGATAAACCCCAGAGGAATTCACTGATGTTACCAAGAAAGAAATTATTTAAGAAAGACTTCTTTAAAACCATTTTATAAACAGAGGTGTTCATAAGAAAAGACTTTGTAGTGAAGCTTAGGCAACATACTACCTTCACATGTCATGTATGCATTATTATTATTTATTATATTATAAATGCATACATGACATGTATGCATTACATGGGAAGCGGTAGTTACAGCCTGATAGTTTTTATCACATGGCAAATTAATAGTGTATTATGGAAAATACCAGTGTTCATCTTGTGTGGTAGCAAATTTACCCTGTGATGTACTGTTTTTATATGAGCAGCCATCCATTGTGTTTGTGCTAAACTTTTGAAGGCAGATAAAGGAGAAAACTTGCTAATATATTAATAAATATTTAAGCTAGAATAATTTGAGAATGGTATGATAAAGAAGCTCTGTCCCTTGCCCTTTTCTGACTCAGTGAACCTTTGCACTTTGTAATGCTACCAGCATGGGATCATTATAATACTGCTACCGGAGGATTTCTAATTCTGCAGGGGGCACAAACAATATTACATGCACATTGGCACATTCTGCTTCATGTACATACTATGCATTATACATTCCAGACTGAGTCATATAATTTCCAAAACCCTTATTATGAAAGTCAGCATTTTCATTCAACAGTAAAACATATCAGAAACTCCACAGTGAAGGTAAAACAAACTAAAAAAAAGTATGTCATTGCGGTGAGAAACAGAAAAAAATCCAGTAAGATACATGTTAGAATCATCTTAAATTTTAATATGCCCCTGCTAATCTTTTTTTAGCATAACAATTTTTGTAGAAGAAATATAATTGTGCTGGCTAGTTAAAAGGGTTAGTAACTTGGATACAAGACTGTCACTAATGCCATAAATATTTATTGTCTTTTGAAAAATACTTGAGTATGGGAAACAAAGGAATGCATATATATCTACTCAAAGTCACCAACAAGGCACCATGTTTTCTGTTTGCATCTGTTTTATAAGATGCTATTCTATCCACTAGCCAAACCCTCCTCCTTAAGAGGAGGGTTTTAACTTAAGGTTTTAATTTAAAAGAATCCAGTGGACAGTGCTGCTGTTTTGTCTGAAAAGTAGTCTAGTCAGCATACAGGTTCAGTGTTCCCTTGTTGAAAGTGAACCTTTTTTTCAAAATCTTTATAGCAGTTTTACCTTCTCATGACTCTTGCCTCTTGATATGTGAAATTTGGTTTCAGTAGGTTTGATCCCCCCAAAATATAAAATTTCTTGTTCCATCCCATTTTCCTTTCTGCACGGCTCCATGCCTTAAAGGTGACTGTTGATGTTTTCTTTATTTGATTTTCTTCAAATCAGGGAAAGTAGTATATGTTTTAGTGCAAGTGTGGTTGGTAGTTTCCTTCCCCAGTCCAGTAAATTGAAATTGGGTCTTCTGATGAGCTTGGTGTTGTATTCTGAAATTATTATTTTGGGGTTTTTTTAATTAGTAGACTCTAGTACAGTTTTTTGAGACAGAAAGAAAAGCATACCTGCTTTAGTGTATTATGGGACAAACCAATGCAATTTCTTTGCTTATCAATTTATGAAACAAAACTGGACCATCAGTAGGGTTCCTTTTACTCTGTTGGTCAGAACTGCTAATCTGTAGGTGATTGCAAGAGGTGCAATGCCGTATTTGCTATTTTCTTGCCTCCCATGCTTGAGTCCATATTGCAGGATTGCTCTCTGCCTGCACCCAGGGACTTGCCTCCACAGGTTGCTGTGTTGGTGGTGGTTTGGGGTGATCTCAAAGGGCAATTCAGATACAATCCTCCTGTATAGTACAGTACAGTACAGTACATTATAGTATAGTATAGTATAGTATAGTACAGGATACATTTGACTCACTAGGCTCTTGACATAAAACATGCCATCACTCAACAGAGATATTTAAGGGTGGTATATATTAAGATTTATAATGATCTCATCAAAGAGTTTTGAAAAACCTGAGCAGGCCTTATGTCAACTTTGCCAAGTAGGAAAAAGCATGGATAGACTAGACAAAAAATTTCCTTACAGGAAGGCTTTAACTTATCTAACATGGAAGGAAAAACATGGTTGTGTCAAATATGCTGGAGAAATTGTTTCAGACTGTTAAGCAGAAGGAATAAATATCCTCAGTTATGTTGTCAGAGGGTCACTGAGATCTGTTGTGATCTAATGAGGAAATGCCATTTGAACAAATTAAAACTGTCTGGTCGATGTTCCCACTTATGCAGCTGGATTTTCCAAGAACCAGAGAATTAGAACTCTTCCTTGGTAATTATGTTTATTATTATTAAGTATTTTCTTTATTTTCATAGTAAAAAAAATAGCTGGGGTATTCAAGACTGTGTAAAAGCTGAATCTCAAAATACAAAATACCAAACTGCACTGTATTTTTGTACAAAATGCGTATAAATGAAAATGACTATGGCAGTGTGTAATGCATTAAGCATAGTGCTCTTGAAAGATCAAAGTACTTACTGTTTCATGCTGGAAGTTTCCTTAACTATGAAATAATGTACTTTCTGGCATACATTATGGCTTGTTAAAGGAACTGATTTGGTCTGGGTAATAAACATCATGTCAAACATTATGGCAGGAAAACCTGCTTAATATGTTTTGCAATAAGACAGATTTTTTTGTTCTTGAAAACATCTGCCAACTGAATTCACAAGTGAAGACAGAAAATGTCATCAATTCTGTAACATTCTTGTAAATTTTATTTCAATTTTAGCAATGCAAACCAGGAAAAAAACTTTTGATAATCAGCATTGACTATAATACTTTTATGGAATGATTAAACACAAGCATTTTACTTTTATATAATGTGCTAATGAATGCATATGAATTTTAATACTCTTACTGTTCAGATTTTAACAAGCATATTGACAGATCATTTTAAAAGCATCTGGTTTTTAATGTGTTGAGTGGAGGATTGAGTAAAATAGCTAAATATGTACATACATCCTTTTAAAAAACATATTTCTATCCTTAGTTATAAACATTATCATTTTTTCTTAGACCACCAGAGGCTGCTCTGTACATATGGGCTAATGCTTTCCCCCCAGAAACTTCCTACCCTAGCCAGTCTTCATTTGTTACTGAAATGAACTGAGAATTTGTTGCTCTCTAACCTTTTTCTGTGGAAACAGATCACGCATCCTTAAATGTGGCATGATCATTCCTTCCATTCTGTGCCATCTCCTATTCCCTACTGGTTTTCACACTGACAGTGTCTTTTCCATGTTAGAAGATACTTAAAAATGTAAATTAGTGTTTTCCCCCTTCTAAACCGCATTCACCACTTAAACAGGTATACTAAGTGGATTCTGTAATATTATGCAAAAAAAGTATAAATTGCATCATTTGATAGTAATTTGCAATAATGTTGCCCCAACAGTTGAAGGATGTCAAAGAGGCAACCAAGGAAGAAGTGGGAAGAATTACTTTTATCAGACCAACTAAAGAGGTCAGGTTTTGTGGACAAAAGGATAAGCCTTTCCAAAGCCTGTATGATAGGAATTTTGTCCTTTTTTCCCCACTGAGCTTATCTGCTTGAATAATTCTTATTACAAATATTATTTTTACTGTAGCATAATCTATAGCAGTGCCATTTCTATTAACAGCATATTAATGAAATTGTTTGGATGTAGCATACTTTTCATAATTAATTTTTCCTATCTTCTGTGAGAGATTAAGTATGAAAAGATCATGTGCAGCCAGTTAATCTGTTTTACTAAAAATTGATACATATGGATAATTTGTGTCAGTATTTAGGAAAAAAGTGGTAAAAGTTGTTTTAATACACGGTTGAGTAAGCAGTGACTATTGGCAGACAGGAAATCCTGGCAAGCGTGCAAGCACAGTTGTGCCATTTCTGCTCATTGTTCAGTGTGGCTGACACGAAACGCAGCCTGACTGGAGGTCACGGCAGAGTGTCCGCTTGTGTGGGATGACCTTTCAGAGCCATGGATTTCTTTCACTCTGAGGATTGAGCCGTTTCCCAACATAGCCACGGTCCCACCAGCTGCCGGTTTCACCCTGTGGCCATCTCTGGGCCAATGACCTACCCTCTGACTTGGCAAGGTGCATGCCTGCTCTTGTCCAAAGCCTGTGTGACTACATTAGCCTGCTGCTGAGACAAAGCTAATAAGCTGTTTATTCCACCAGAGGAGACAAAATGACAAGCTCTAGGCAAACAGCTCCTGAGAGGTAAGGGACATGTTCAGCACAAAGAAGGTCGGTGTCAAACGTGGGCATCAGGACTTCAGCCCCTAGAGTCTCATGCTGATGTTTTGTTTCCCCTCGTATAACAAACAATGCCTGTTCTTTTTCCCCTTTTTACAACAGCCAGCATTACTTTATATGTACACATCTGAAATACCACATGGTTTACTCTGCCCACTTTTAAAGCCTGTTACTTCCTTATGTTCTGGAGAAGTCTCACTTCTAAGCAGTTGCAAAATCAGATGCTGATAGTAAAAAGCTCATGAGAACTGCCTAGAAACTACCATGGTGGTGTTCTTGCCCTGTGTAGTGCTGGACACTGGGCATTCAGAGTTGAGAAGACACTACAGGTCAAGTGCTGAACATAAATGTGTAGTGACATTTTGAGTGCTCCAGGAACACCTGGAGAGATCTGGTCTTGCAGAATCTATGCTGCTAGAGACCTGCACCACTCTGGGCCAGCAGCTGGAAGCTAAACATATACCATGATACTTAGCGCCTG